TGGAAGAGTTGACGTAGATATGATCAACCTCTTGGGCTTGTGCAACTTGGAATCCATGGCACCCATTCGGATTCGAAAACCATTCTGTAGTGCAATAGATCGAAGTCCTGTCCAGGTGCGCCTCTCTCTCTCTTTCTCTCTCTCTCATTTGATCAAAGGAAAGAGTTTACTAATATGGTCATTTGCATTGCATATATATAGGGAGTGTACGAACAAGGTATTTTCAGCACATTTTTTGCCGGGAATGAGGTTCCGGGCCGATTCAGCCATAAAAGTAGAAGGTCCTCCATATCTTTTACTGTGACTTTACCTGATAAACACAGAATTAAAGCCTTGGTCATCTTCGCCGTCATCTGCGCTGTCTATGCGAGTTCTAGCTTTAATTTTACTCCCAATCTGATGGTTGGTTTTAAATATAATGCGGATGTGATGGCTAGAGTCAGAAATAAGAGCAAGGGTCTGAAGTGGTACTATAGCCCAACACACAACGGTATTCCAGGTGAAGGAGAAGACATGATATGGTTAAGCCACTGGAAGTTTCAGGATGATCACTTAGAAGGCGGCGATCGAGTGGTTGTTTCAGTTGTTACGCAACCTTTCCTTCGAGTAAAGGAGTTAGGCATCCAGATTGTGCAGGAACAAGAAGAGAATCATAATACTGTGATGAGTACCCAACGCAAAACCATTCACCTTCGTGCATATTCTAGTGAAATTCACCCAGGAGAATACTTGTTCAATGATGAGGACTCTGATGAAGATACAACAGGTGTGTTGCTTATTGACGCATTTGATCTTACTCCAACTGTTTCTAAAATAAACTAAATAATAAAAAATGAGACCCCTAACAAATTAAATTAGAATCACAAATCTATGTTGTTAGGATCAGATAATCATCTATGCTCGTCACAGGCCAGTCCATATTCATTTGAAAAACAAGCTTCCTCTAATTTATTGGGATTTTCTGTGTTTTCCAGACAAAGAAGAAGAGCAGGATGATCACGCTATTGCGGCTACCACAGGCAGCAATAAATTCGGCGGCCTCCGTGGCTGGAAGGTGCTCATCACCGCAGCTTGCTTCTTTGTCACTCTGTCTCTAATCACTCGGTCTTCTCTCTCTTAAAGAAAGAAGCGACAGTCCACAAGCCGTGGCTGAATTTTTTGTACATCTCAACTCAACAGCTGGTTAATTGACCGACAGAGTGGCTTTCTTCCTTCATATAAATCAACACCAAACTTTTGTCTTTGCATATATAATTATATATAGCCAATGTCTTCCTAAGACCAATTCGTTTCATAGCATCGAATACATCTTCTACTGATCTAATCAAATACAAAATTTAAGAGCCTGGATCCAAAGGCCCATACACTATACTACAGAAGCTCGTTTCTGGTTCTTCAACCCAAACAAATTATTGAGCCATGAAATTTACGATCTTCTCATGAACATTATACCTGCAAAAACATATTCATTAATGCAGGAACCTTCAACATTAATTCTGGCCTAATAACAGATTCTCCAAAAGAATTCCAAAACAACATCATAGCAGTCACATACGGAAGCAAAGAATCTATAATGATACCTTATCTTGCGACTCTTAGAGGCTCGTCTGTCAACAATCTTCCTCTTCCTAGAATGCAACTTTTTCAGAGAATAAAAGGCTGTCTCTGTGATTAACCAAATAGTGGAAAATCAGAATAATTAAATAATATGCTGGCAGTGTAGGTCTTGATTAACTGGAACAACTATGACAGAGTGCTCTATTTTGAACTCTATTATAGAAACTTGAAATAATAGAGTTCAGGATCAACTAAGTTTACCTAATATATCCCTCGAGTGAAAACAGCTAATCTCTGATCTCCTCCTCCGTATTAGACAAAACTAATTAATTATCGCATAATTTATATTTAAAAATAAAACGAAATTAACAAAACAAGGGGCTGAGGAGAGTTGGTAGCGTTTTACAGCGTACGTACGTGGAATTTAAGAAGCGATTGTGTGTGTGCGCGTGTCAAAACGGAAGTACGTGGGAGAAGGGTCGCTTGACTATTCTGAAACGCTGTCAGATAAAACGGTCTGCTTTTTTATTTTTATTTAATTGCTCTTCTGCGTGACTTCGTCTCTGCGGGCTGCACTGCCCATAGCTTGGCGTCGAACTGCAAAATCTTAACCTCGCCCCTAGTTTACTATACTCTCTAAGTTCTAACCAACCCCCCAACTGTTGCTCTGGTTAGGTTAAAAGTTACTTAGATGCCCATAACTTTTCCATAATTAGTTTTACTGTAATTACATTCTTATTCCTTACGGAATCGTTGATTATGTGGCCCATTACAATTAGGCAGGTACTTTGTATTTTTTATGACAACCTTTTAAGCCACAAATTTCTTCAATTAATTTAATCAAATCCAAATTCATTGTGCCCAGAAACTCGGAGTCATCCAAAAGATACAACATGAAAGGTCTTAGGCCATGTCACCTGTATATTAAAATCTTTTA